CTCGATTACCTGCGACCCCAATATCAGGACGTAACCAATTACACTACGTTCGCAATCAAGGGTCCCCCAATCCTTCCCCCCTATTACTGAGCAAGAATCCGGCTCAGAAGCGGAGGGTGATCAAACTGAATACGCGATGGCAGAGGAAGATATGACAACCTCTGGCTCCGCACGCGATACTGGCAAGATGCCAGAACGCGAGGAATCCGAGGATGGCACGCCCAGTCCTATGCCGATACCTACGCCGAATCCTAACGGCATGGTGACCATGGCAGCAGCAGATCTCATTGCACTCTGCGAGCGACTGATATCAGCACGCGCGCCGCCACCTCCTCCACCTCCTCCACCACCTCCACCTCCTCCGAACCCTATACCAGAAGAAGATCCGAACATGCTGGCTCGCGAATACCAGAAGGAAGCGCAGGCCTCGTTGAACACAAAGTCCGTCACCACGTTCGATGGCACCAACTACCAGACGTGGAAGATGGCGTTCTTGTCGGATGCAGAAGTGATCGGTGGTGCAAATATTCTTAATAAGAACCAACAGGAACCACCTGAAGGTTTATCATCGCTCGATCAGCGATATTGGGTGATACGTTCAAAACTTCTCTTCCGTCGCATGTTGCAATCCCTAGTAGGTTCTGTCCGTTTGACCATGGGATCCATTCAACCCGACAACGCGGCGGCCCTATGGAACAAGGTAAGCGCAGTATACGCGATATCCCTAGGGGAAGAAAGGATTAACATCCTTAAAGAATTTACCCACTTGCATGTCAAGGACGGTGATTACCTGGCGTACGTACGCCGATATCAATACCTGTCTGCTCGCATGCGACAACTAACGGAGGACCGTGGTGAGAACTACCTCCATGATTTCTTTATTATCGGCCTCCGAGATTATCAGAGGACCTATGTTAAATCACGCCTCGATACGTTCTACGGGACGGGTCAGGGTCCGATTGTCAACCTAGATATCAACGATCTCACAAAACAAATTGCTCACCGGATGAGTAAATCAGAGGGTACTGGACGCCCTAAAGCTCCAAAGGCCAACGCGGCCACCAATGATAATGACAACACAACTTCCGCCGCAACCGCAAAGTGCGGATACTGCAAGGTCCCAGGGCATATAAAGGCTAATTGCTATCATCTGAACCCTGACAAAGCGCCCGAGTGGTGGAGGAAAGAGAATAAGGATAATAAGGGCACTGACAACACTGAAGGTGCCAAAAAGAAGGGAAAGGATAAGAAGAAGGACAAGGATGACGACAAACCTACTGGCACCAGAGCGCCAGATCTCCTTGCATCGCAACCTAATGCCAACGCAGCAATTGCTTTATCTACGTCGTCCGCTACAACATCCAAACCTTGGTATCTCGACACCTGCGCAAGCTTCAATATGACGGGTGAAAGGCACTCGTTGGTGCGCGCAAAGTCGTTCGAAGGTGATTTAGAAATTACTACCGCGGACGGTGGCGTAGGACGGGTTGAGGAGATAGGTGATATCCTTCTAGAATCAGAAGGGGGGGATATCTCAGTGGGTTACGTCCACTGGATCCCCAATCTAACAGTCAACCTTCTATCCTTTGCGAAGCTAGAAGATCAAGGCTTCAGATACCCACTATCAGATACCACCCCCTTACTATTTTACAATAAAGGGCCCCCGAACGGTGCCACCTTCACCGCTGTTCGCACGTTCAAAAGAAACGGGTCTACAAGATAATAGAAACGAGAATCTCAAATAGACGTCCATCACTCGTTCCAGGCCGTCATTTTATGGGCCCAGCTTTCATTTACGGTGACGCAATGTCGACAATCGGCGAGAAAACTTATCGAACAACTTAGCGTACGGAACCCCCTTGACA